CAATCGCTTTTACAGGTAAATGACACAAAAACACTAGAAGTTTTAAGAGTGTGAGTGAAAGATTCTTCCATTATAAAGTTGAGAAGAATCCCAGTGAAGAAAACATATATTTATGTTATCGACTGTGGCAGCGAAAACGACACTCTTGTAGGTATTCATTTCTGCAAAATATATTTCAAGAGACTTCTTGAATTATATTTCGATTAATATATGTAATTATATTATTAATTCCTTATCGAACTTAACTCTTCTAATATTAAGATTTTGGTTATTAATTTTAGTAGTGACTAAGAAAGTGTTTATATTTCATCGGAATTAACTATAGAATAATTATTTGAACATAATAACCTTAAGAAACAAAAATAAAGAAATATATCAACTTCAACAAAATAACTATTGACAGATTTCACACAATCGTAACCTTAAATTATGATGGTCTATTATCAATATAAAAAAGATATGTAGGACAGAACTAACAATCGTTACAAACATCATAAAATCTAATCAATTAGCACAACAATTAGAGCGATATAATATCATTCTTTGAATCACATAACGGTGAAAATGAATAAATTTCGTCAACTTCCACATAAGCCCAGCCAAATACCCTGTTCACGGTTTACATACCGTGATCTGAAAATACTTTCAACTCAGCTCCATTAGTTTAGTGTCTAAATAAAGATATGGAAATGATGACGTGTCTTCTGGAAGAAGTTATTTTTAGCTTTTTACACATTTATTAAGTAACCGGTTAAAGAAATGTAATTAAAATCAATATAAAGAAGATTTAGACATTCTAAAAGAATTATTTTGAATTCAAAAAAAATCCGAGTTACAACTCTTGAAGAGTGAACGTAATATTAATAATAGTTAATAAGTTTAGAATTTAGATTAGGTTGTAAAGTTACAATAAGACATTTCTTGGATTTTAGATTAGAGATAAGATCGATTCCTCCATCCTCTATAATATTGACGAATAGGAGATGGGGAATCAATATCTATAAAGAAGAATCAATGCATAATATCAATGAATAATCAATAATCAAGCATTTAAAACTTCTTAATACCTCTAAAATAACTGAAGTATTAATAATGTCTATAGTAAACACGATATTGTCCATCAATACCACACCTTCATTTAGAACAGCTCAATTGATTTAGAATTAATATTTATTTAAGAAAACTACATTTTATTTACAACTGTGTTTACAGTACGCTAGTCTGTACATTAATAGGTTATTTCTTATATTTGGGGTTCTTTGTGTACGTTACTTTAAGTCCATTAGATTCTCCGGCTCATATTTTAAAAGTGTGTGCACTAAGGTAATGCATATTTATTTGATCGTGCCTATCTATAGGGAACATTTTGTAGTTAATGGATATGCTGCCGTAAGATCTGCATAGGAGTTGATTCTAGTATTCAACCACCTCAGCGATGATATTATTAAAATTGCAGAATCATATGACCATTTATATAATAGTAGGTAGGAAATATATATTACTTTACTCTTTTTGACGGCAATATTTCATTAAAACTATAATAAGCTTAAATAACAGAAATCGTCAATTCACAGACATATAATTAATGATTTATGATTGTTTAATATATTAGTTTAGAATAAGAACTGGTATTAAAATAGTTGACATAAATAAACGAAATAAATTCTTCTGAATCAAATTTGTTGCTTTTGTCACTCTAAATTCTATGATTTCATTGTCGCGGTCGCTAAGGTATATAATATTAGACTATCAACTCCATGCATTTACAATCAGAGCATATCGTCCTCGGGATGCTGTTTCTCATACACTTCTTGCATTTTCTGTTGTTCTTTTACTTTCTTCATTTGAGCGTAGATAGAGGCGGCTTTGTAATTGATAGGCCCGTAGTCCTTAAGGTCGACGTCTGCGTACACAAACTGGTCGTCTGGTTTGAAAGGCTGTAATAAGAAATATTTACCTTAATATATTGCTTTGTTGTTGTGTATTTTATATATTACTAATGACCCGGTTTCGCACGGGTGATATCTGGATCTCGACAACAGCGCCCCCTACCGGGTCTAATGTGAATCTAAACTATTCAAAGACCCATTTAAATACTCACAAAATTTTTTATCAAAATTTGCTCGAGCCGTATTTGAGTTTTAGCGAGACTAACGGACAGCAATTGATTTTCGTATATAGATGTTAAACTATGATCTAGTGTAAACTACATTACCATGTTTATTTTGTGTTTAGACCCAGAATATCAAGGGTACGAGACGTCTTGTGCTATAGTCGCCAACTATGGAAAATATTCCTTTATATGAAAGAAGCTCACGTTTAGTAATGAATTAATGACAAACAGATATGTCCAAATCCAAACCTTCCTCGGCTACCTGAAAGTGGATTCAGCTCTATATTTGTCTATGTAAATATGGCTCCATTGACAGTTCTGTGTGTTTTGGACATTAATATGGAAGTTAAATATTTTTTTTATAATACTTGCTATACTCTAAAAGTAAAAGTGCAGTCCAGCTTAACCCCAAAATACAGAGGTTTGCGCGTTTACCGCCTAAAAAAACCCTTTTTCGTGTCTCCTCGATTTCAGAGCACTTACTTCGTTGCCTCAGCTAGCATCGGAATCCTAGGCGTCAACATTTCGAGCGATGTACAGTTTCGCAGTCACTTGGAAGAGAAAGGTAAACTGGTATCAAAAAAGCTTGGTATGCTCAGAATTTACTATCCGCAGTAGTTTACGGACTGGTATGACTTAGGGACCTTCACAAAAAGAACCTACTTTTTCTAAAAGGCCGGCAACGCACCTGCAATTTCCTTGGTGTTGTGGATGTCATGAACGACGGTGATTACTTCCATCGACGGTGATTACTTTCATCAGGTAAGCCGCATGCACGTTTGCTTCCTTTTCCATAAAAAACAAGAATTTATTTATTTAAAAATAATGAATAAAAACGCTAACCCCACATTAAGCTTAATCTTAGTGATCACCAAGTTTTGCAGGCAAAATGGCGACCATAGCACAAGATGTTTTGATACTTGCACCCTTTGGGTCTCAGGTCTGATAAAAGGAGCGGTTATTTCGCCAACTGTCTCTCCTAAGCCACAGAATCTAGACATTTCCGTTATAACACTCTTCACGTCACAGGAAGACTCTTAAACTAATACTGCACACTGGCAGCATTTGAATAAAATCTACCAGATTATTTTTATTTTATAAAATTGAAGTGACAGTCCACTTGATGGTAAGTAGCTACTGCAGTCATAGATACTTTCTATCAATATTATGATATTATCACAGTAGTACACGCACTGTTATTTGGCGATAGAAATAAGTAAGAGAGTGGTAACAACTAATACGGTTTTTAGGCAGAAAGATCCTACCGCCTAGTGAAACAGAATATAATAAAATAATAAAATTTGTTATAAGTTTTCACTCAAGTTCCAGATTGAATTCTGTTTTTGTATCTAATCTATAAAAACAATGCAATAATTCAATATAAAACGCTAGGTAATATGTGTTAAGTGAAGTTATTGTTTTTTATGAAGCAAAGAAGCTATTTTAAATATATTATACATATAAGATTTAAAACATATAATTTAAAAGTATTTCCAAATTTACTTTTTTTTTTAAATTGATAAACGTTCAAAAATATAATATTACTAAGATTATAATAAAAAACGAAGAGATTAAAATAATATAAAATTAGTTAACGCATAGATAATATCAAACGCGGAAAATGAAAGTTAATATTTCGTAACTAAACTTAAGAAATTAATAATAATACTAAATCAGTTTTTATATTACAGGAACATGATAATAAATAAATAATATAATAACCACATATTAGTACAAGCAGAAAATTAGCCAAATAAATACATAGATTTGCTAGAAGCCAACAATTCAATTAACGAATTTACGAGTTACCTTGATTTAAAAAATGTACGTGTCACTCTTGGCAAAACGGGCCTAGAAAACAGAAATACAAAACTTACACAACATTGCGAGGACATGCTTCTTTTAGAAAAAAACTGCGATACAAATAAGAATAGGTATGATATTGTGACGTCATAGCTGTCAATTCAAACCAGTTATGTAGGGTAAGTAAAACGGATATTTTTGAAATAATATTTATTTACAAAATAATCACGAACGAAAAGTATTAATCTGAATCAACTATCAACTATATTAAAAAATAAGCAAAATAACAATTTTGCTCATCTCTGCATCCCTGTCTGAACGGTGATTATTGTCATCATTATCATCACTGCTGCTTACCCTAATAAAAATAGAACATAGATTTATGTGGGTATTTAAAATATTCCACCGACTAGAATTAATATTTTTTATTAGTTTATAAAAATATTTATGAGTTCAATAGATTTGGTAATACTAAGACTCAGTTAAATAAAGCGGAAAAAACATTATTAACACGCAAATGAATTTTCTATGCAAGCCGTGCTTTTCGAGTGACAGCTAACAGATCGCGGTCATTCGAGGTTATTGACGTTTCTATTCTTATTTGAATCGCACAGTATGTGGTGTCACGCAACGCAGTGGATTACTAGAACCTATTTGCCGATTTTCACTAAAATGTCATGCTTTTGTATAAATAATCGAAGTTATATTGGCATTTCTATCTGATCATGCTAATAAGCAGCGAAAGGAAGCACTTAGCCACATATTACCATTTTGTTATTAATAATTTTTGTAATTGACAAAACAGAAAATTTTACATTGAAAGATGGCAATAGTGATGATAGGAAAGAGCTACTTTTGTTTGAAAATAATATTCGATAAAGTAATTAATGTTACTTGCCATATTTGAAACATGTTGTTTCTAAATATGTTTAGAATTTCAGCATTTTCTTATAAATGAAATATTTATTTAGAAAGAAAATTCAATTGGTAGATGACATAAGTTGTTTGTGGGACTTGCTACAGTAACCAATGAAATAATTTAGCTTTTGGGAATAGCTTCAAAATAAATTTTTGGACTTACCTCTCAGACGTCGATCTCGTTAAATTTAAGAGTGGCGTAGTCACTCTTATGTTGATGGCTGCCTTTCCTCTGACTGCTTAATACATTATTCTTATAACTATTGTTAGTTTCCTTATTAGTATCAGCATTCCCTATAGAGTAGGTATCGTATAAATGTTTATTTGAATTGACTGTATTTTTAAATTTTAAATTATGATTACCTAGAGCTAAGTCAGCGTACACTAATTTTTTGTGTTTGGGTCTTTCGTCTTTAGGACCCATTGTATTGAAATTTGAGCTACAGTTATGCTCTGGGTTGATATTTCTTGAAGAACTTGATATGTAGTTCCCTTTTAAGAGCTGCAAATATGACTTCCTTTCAGAGTCATTATATTCTGGTTCTGGATAATTTGGCTTCTCATAGTTATCGTAGATTCCAACACAGGATAATTTTTCTCGTAGACTTTCAGATTTTTTTAAGCGATTTAATTTTTGACTGTTCTTCTCTCTAGTTCTGTTTAATGTTTTTGTATAATATTGAACATCCCCCGTTTGGTATATAACAGGACCTATTGTATTGTTATATGATCTTTCTTGGTCAACGGGGATCCGTTTGTCGACTCTAATCGGTTGAAAATAACAGAAACTGTGATGTTTTTGTAACGGTATTTGAAAATTTTTCTTATTCTTTCCTTTAGAGCTTAAGTTAGTAAAATGATTTCTTTTTTGCATGTATTGCTGTTGAAGTATGTTAGTATTCTGAAATGAAGACATGGAGTTGTTATTAGGATGGTGTTAGAACGAGAAAAATGCAAATAAATGAAATGATAAAAAGAAACGAAAACATACAAAGCGTTATTTATACCTGAGCAATATCACTGTTTATGGTTATGTTACTTTGAACTGAATTACTACGTTTAACTAATGTCTTTTTTGGTATAGGCTTTTCAGCCAATTTTGGTATTTGTAAAGTTTTATTCGGCACTATAACTTGCTTTTTTGGTAATCCTACTTTGTTGATCCCTGCTTGATCATTTAATTGGCTTACTACTGATTTCACTAAGGAAGTGGAAGGTAATATAACAGAAGCGGTTGCTGTGCTTCTTTTTGGTGTTGCAGCTACAATATTTGGTTTCTTGATATCTGTGCCTATGCTTTGGATGTTCATTTTTTTACTGAGAGTCTTAGTTTCATCGTTGTCAGTTTTATCATTTTCTGGTGTGTTATTTTTAACTATGCTTAAATTACTTCTGGCGTTACGAATTGGAAATTTTTCAATTTTCGACACGTCTTCGACAGATTTTGATGATCGTACAGGAGCATCAACAATGTCAACTGATTTTAAGTTTGAAGTATTAATAAGAGGCATAGATAAGTTGACATATACATGATCGGACTTAAGTGGTGAATTGAATGGCGATATTTTTTTTCGTGGAGCTGGTATCGGTTTGTTGAGAGAATTGGTTGATAGGTTCAAATGGTAATTGGGTTCTTCGTAAACCTCGATGGAATCAGTTAAATTCTCAAACTGCTCTACGCCACTTATGTTGGATTTTATTTTAAGTAAAGATGGATAATTTGCGTAAATTGTATCTTCATTTGTCGATACATCTCGGTCGTTATCAGAATTGTCTGTATTATTTTTGTTGTTGTTAATTTCATTGAAGTTGTCTCCATATTCGGTGTTTGGATAGAATCTTTCTATATTCCTTTTTCTGATTATTCTCATCGATTGAAACCGAGGAGGTTTTTTACTATTTCGAGTGTTTAGCGAGCTAAACCTTCTTGTGTCTGGTTCTACCTCTTCGTCAATAGTTGGAAATTGTTTTAGAAATGATGGTTGCATTGGTGGTAGATACGGATTAAGCAACACCGTTTGGTGTAATGGATACATTTGTTGAATTGGTGATAACACTGGAATTCCATACGTAGCCTGACACTGTGTGTTTGTTAACGATGTTACTGGATAATTTATGGCATTTTGTACAAATGGCGGGCATACAATCCTTGGAGTGAAAGATGGATTTGTTGTCAATTGTTTTTGTAGTGTCTCTATCCCCTTATTATTTTTTTGGTTGGGATCAACAACTCTGGGCTGTATCGCTTGCACAGGCTTTATATCGCATGCAAAATCATGAAATAAAAAAATAAAATAAAATTAAAGATGCAAATAAACACACAAGTTTACATAATACATTTACATATATTATTAGATAAGCACATAAGTAGCAGTGAACCTATGAATGTATACTGTTATAAAACTTTCTGAATATTAGTGATATAACTAATAATGTTCATTTTAGGTTTAGGTTTATTAGGCTTTCTGATTTAGAAGTGATTTGTTTCTAATGATTTTTTTTATTAAAAGCGATAAAATCTGTAAAAAGTAGTTTCATTTGCTTTTTTTATCCATACTCATATTTAAGTTCTATTCTCAGACTTAGTAATATTATAAATATTATCTTTACACTTACAACTTAATTCTGCACAATTAAGTAATATTAGTTTATATATATATACATATACATATATATATATATATATATATATATATATATATATATATGTATATGTATATATATATATATATATATATATATATATATATATATATGTATACGGAATATGCACTATATTAATATATAGTGCATATTCCGTAAGGAGTACCATCAATTCATATACTAGTTGTAAAAGAAGATGGTTTGATGTATAAAAATATTATCGATAATAAATTAGCTATGTATTGTTTTGTTCAGCAATTTTTTTACTTATTTGCTGTGTTGTGAGTTTTCTTGAGTAAATTTCGTACATAAACTATTGAATAATAGATATACATATAAGGGCTGAAACGAACTTCATTTTTTTACCAATATTCTGGAATTTTTTGGAATGTAATACATCATCTATAAGCGCAGCTACATATTATGAATTTTTTGTTGTTGTTGTTAGCTTGTCGCATTTAGTTATAAAAATCAGAAAGCTTTTATGCCTATAATGAATGAATTAATTGTAGTTAATCTTTATATAAACATTTAAACAATTATGAAAGATGTTAAAATCAATGCACGTGTAAAAAATCAAGCGATTTTATTTATTAAGTTTGAATATTATCAAGTGATACCTTATTAGGTGGTTGTTGTAGACCGTGGAACGGAAGATTCTCGTAGAGACCTGGATTTTCCGCTCCTAAATTACCATTTGCCGCATTATCTACGCCATTCGTAGGTGGGCCTGTAGAATGAGAAAAATAATGTAAGTAATTTAAACAATGAAAAAGTAATTTACTTTTGGCCTTGACATTTTTAAGGTTAAAAAGTTTTCCATCCGTGAAATGATAACCCATTGATAATGCCACTGCACGATTGACAAGTTTTAAATTAATTGTTGGCCTGTTTGCTTCTTTTTAAATATAAAAACGTGTCTTTAAATTAGTGCAATTAGATATCGACTATATAGGTGAAAGGAGTTACAGTGAAAAATAGCATTCAAGACAAACTTTTATGTACTATATTTTCGCATGAATAAAATTCCCATTCCTGAGAATTACATAATTATTAGATACCTAAATGTATAACAAAATAAGTTTGTCTCTAATGCGCGTTAACTGTAACACAATTTACTTACTGTCTCCTGGCTTTTTCCTTTTTCTGGCGGCTCTTGAATTAGAGTCGTTAATACACTCTACATTAGCATTTGTTGGAGCAATTCTATCTGGTCTTTTAAACGACACAACTAAAACATGCAATAAATTATTAAATGTTGCAAACATAAACACAAAACGTGCTGAACAACAAAAAAGCAAATAGGAACAGACGATTCATGCTAAAACAAGCAAATGAATATAAAACAGAAACGTGATCTGTGATATATTGACAAAGAGTATGATAATATTTTATTTTCTGTTTATATGTACAAAAAGTAAGAAATCTAAAATAGACGAAAGTTTTGAATTTTATATGTTTTCGTAGCTTAAATTAGATGTTTAATAGCATTAAAAATATTATCACACATTTGTCTAAGATGGTGCCGAAATGTGTGTTTATAGAAATAAAGAACTACCTCCTTCAGTAACAATAACATTCGGCGTTTCACTTTGGAAAAATGACCTAATTCGTTTCTTGGGAAGACCGTATCCGGCCTTACCCAAATTCATTAATGAAACAGCTCTCCTGTTAGATTTGTTAATTTTCTTGTACTTTCCACTCTCGTCGTCTGAACCGTTGTCACTTTTTTTTCGGAAATTTTTAATGATTCCTGACACAACGTTGTGTGAATGTCTTTTTGGTTTTCCATTCTTCTTTGAGTATTCGACTTTAGGAGGTGTCTTATTGCTCTCTGTTACGTTACCTTGATTTCTTTCTAGTAATCCTAAATTACTTTCTTCTTTATCTGTAGTCTTGGTTACAGTTGTGGTTTGAAGTCGAGCTTGATTTTTTGGACTTAAAGTATGATTTGAGTTAACGTGCACTAAAACCCCCGGTTTCAAGGGCCATTTGTTCGGTGTAACAACAGTTTGGGGCTTATTTTGATCATTTTTTATTTCAGCGTTCAGTGGTTCAATTTTGTTAGTATCATCAAATCTGTTTGTAGATTTATTTGAATTGATAGTTGCCTCTAACTGTGATAAACTTGCTTGCAGGCTGCTGCTATTGGTTCTTTCTTTAAATCTGTTCATTTCTAAATTGTGAGGATAGCTTTGCGAATCGACTAGCCGGGTCCGATCTGATGATTTGGGGCTAAATGATAGATTGATGCGCGGCGATAAAGCGGGCAAAGCTTGCGATATGATTGACTGAGCTATAGACACCTCGTTTAAACAGCTACCATCCGGACTATATGAACAAAAACATGGAAACAAACAAAATGATTAGGGTCATGCAATGAGCTGTTGATTTATAAAACGTAATCATAATGATAATAAAATATAAAAAAGGTTAGTAATGTTTTTTTTATAAAATATATATAAAACAAATTAATGATATTTACTACTGAAAATTTTAAAATACATATATTAAATATAACATGACTTTAATATAAAACAAAGTGTTCATGAGGCAAGTATATACTAGTATAAAGTATAAATACGAGTGATGGATGATACATAAAGAAAGAATGTAAAATGTAAGGTATTTTAATAATAATACAAATTATACAAAACCAAGATAATCTAGAAGAATGCTTTCCTGACAATCTTCTTACATGCAGTGTTGACATTTACGTACTTATTTATGAGCAAACTACTTCAACTTCGACTACGGAAAATCACACAGAAAATCGTTCATGTCTTAATAACGAGAAGTTCAATGCAACTGAGCGAAAACAGCAGTAAAAAATAAGAAAGCATTCTCCATCTAAACAGAAAATACAGAACGTGATAAATAACTTTGTTAGTAAAATATACCTGAACTATTAATTGTAGTCAGTCTGAGAACGTCTGGTGTTAGAGCGGTTAGGAACCTACACAGGAATAGACATTTATAAAAAAGACGGAGTGTTGGTTATTATATATGAATATTAAGAACCTAGAGACTTGTGAAGATGACTTGTTGGAGAAATAAACTAAAAAGACCATGCTTTAATGCAAAACTAATGAATAACTTTAAACAGTTAATTTAAATATAAAATGAAGTAAAATAAACCTCAGCCGATGGTCCAAGCACATAGCAAGTGTACAGGCGAAAACTCAAACAATACTTTGATAATGGGATTGACCTGATATTAAGGACGCGGCATTGGCACAACTAGAGGCGACCTTGACGGTGGCATTGACAATGTGTGCCAAGAATCTGCTCGGACCAAAGGCGTAGCTGAAAATTTGTTTATAATAAAAGGTGGAAGAAAAAACAATATATATAAAGTAATATCTGGTGTGGAAAATCATATTTGTGTAAATAGTAAGATTTAAAATATATAAAATTTGATAATATAATAGATATATACAAATATTATAAATGTAAAGGCAATATAAATATAATATTAAGGAAAAATAAATCTTTTTTAAACTATAAACTACATTAAACAACAATTATTCAAGCTGCGCTTATATGTAGTGTGTTAGAGCCTGACTGCATTATGTATTTTAAAGAAGTTTAAAAAGGAATACCAAAAAAGAGAAAAAATATATTTCTGATATTAAAAAAAAGTTGGTGCACTGTCGAAATCAAAAATAGTAATTATGACAAAGAAAATAAAACTTAAGTTTCAACAGTTTCCCTGTCCGTGATATAGATAATACTCGTAGTTCAACAACCGAAATTTTTATATATTTAACTTGATGACGGGACAGGGAAGATGTTAATTATTTCACTGGGGACTTCTAAGCATCAGATTACAAATCTAACATTCTCGACAACTACAGTAGACAATGACGATTAATAAAAAATTACAATACTTACTTCTCACGTTCCTCTAATTCCACAGGATTATTGTCTATAGCCGTATAGTATTATATGATTTGGCATTATTTGTTAGGCGGCATCCGGATAAAGGAACAAACAAAATAAGCAAAGTTAGTATATACTTCAAAGCAAAAGTAAAATAAAAAAAAAGGATCAATTTTTTAATTTCGATGCAACAAAAAGGGCAATTATAATGCCTGTTCCAAAACTTGATCAAATAATGTACGACTTTACTTATAAAAATCGACGTTATCATAAAAAAGGTATATAATGCACTCTTTTTCATCTAAATGACAATGAAAAGAGACGAGTATAAAAATAATTAATATTTAATTTTAGTAACAGATAATCAATGATTATAAGTAAGGCCTTGTTTATTCCATGTATTGTTTTAAAGTTATTTTAGGTAATGCAATAAAAGTTTTGAATGATGATAACAAACTTGACAACAAACATATCATAACAGAAAGACGCAAAACAAATAATATTAAATAAGCAAGATATTAACACACAGATTGAATACTTACACTTAGATTTGGCCCTCATTCTCCTACAAATGCAAATAATGATGATGCAGAGAATGACGGTGATGACTAAAACAGCGAGTGCGATGCCACCGAATAGCAGGAGCTTGTACTGGTCTCTCCACCACACCTTATTACCTGTAATTATTAATTTTTTATAATTTTAAAAATTGAAAGTAAAAATCCACCTGACGGTAACTAGTTACTGCAGCCAAGTAATACTGTTATTAAAATTCAAACAAACACTACAGATACGTTATCATGGCAGAAGAAAGAATGATGAAATGGTGATATCTAGACAAACGGACTCATAGACAGTACAGGATTCCTAATACATACTAAGTTTATATAGTCTAAGTTACCATAAAGGTGATACTACAAACGCACGCATTTGTAATATTATTTACACTCTAACATCATAATTCATTATCGCAGTGATTTTTTACCACGTTTCTATTAACTCGCTTCCCGATGATCTAGAGACTTGACATTTTGATATAGATCAAAATCGTATGACAACGTAAGAATATGGTATAAAATATCAAACGAGATTCATTGAAAATTTTAATATATAATTTAAAAAAAATCATTTGTTTAATAAAAATTACTAAGACTTGTCACTTCGCTATATGAACTGAATGAGATAAATACATCTAACTTAGCGATTTCAACACTTACTGTAACTTTCCAGGTTAGCTGTGAGCAGAAAAACATGCTTAATATTGGAGCAAAGAGATTTAAAATAGTATATAACAATTTTAGTTTGAATGATACATTGGTTATACGAGAATATAAATCATTGGTGTGAAGTTATAAGGCATTATCTAATGCTTTACTTTTCATGAAATATCAACATTAAAAAAAACATGTGTGCAGTTCACACGTTGTAGAAGTGAAATTTTCAGAAAAGCAAACAAAGATAATAGAAACACTGTATAATGTATTCTAACTCTTTCTCTCGCAGGATAAATCCTATAGATGTATATGTTTGTCTCTTTTTAGTGTCGCTTAATGATTCTAAAGAAGTTTTCCTTTCAAGAACTAGCACTATGATTTTAAACTTTCCACCGTAAACACGTTTTATGTTAATAATTATATCTATAATATAAAAATGAATAGCTGAATGTGTTGCTAAGCGCAAATCTCGAGAGCGGCTGAACCGATTTTGCTAATTTTTTTTTATAATATTCCTTGAAGTACGAAGATGGTTCTTACGGAGAGAAAAATTTAAAAAATTGCCTGAAAAAGTCTAAAACAACACTTTTCTATATTCTCATACAAAAGATTCGTAATAATACTTAAAAGTCAATTTGAACTTTAATACCATACCATAAAGTTTAAGTGTTAGTGGAGGGGTTACGGGAAGGCAAAACAATTGAGTGACGTTAGTATCGTATAAATATTAATGAAAATATTTTTCAATATTTACACGATGGTAACATTACTCAAAAACAAATTAGGATTCCGCGCAAAATAAATAGATATACATGAAATCGTAGTAAATTCCACGCGGGTGAATTCGCGGGGCACAGCTAGTATATAATATAACTAATTGCCGTGTTAAATAAATTGTATTGATTAAGCTGAAGAATCAGGAATGTTTTCAATTTATTACCTTCAACGCCTCTCTCACACGCCTCAGAAATTCCGACGGAGTTTTTAGCATAGCATTTGTAGGTCCGGTAGACTTCCACGCTAGGGCTGAGGCGTAGGTAGCTCTGTAGGCCTACTTGCCAGATCTTCTCATCTGTCAGGCTGTCATTGTCGTTTTTAAGCTTCCAAAAGAAGGTTACCTGAATAAAACATTATAGTGGTGGATTAACTAAGAGAAAATACTATGGGTGTCCGGATAGACATAAAGCTAATAAATGATTTTTCATATATTATCTTTTTGTCTGTATATCCTGTCCTATCTGTCAGTATATTACATTGACTGACTGTTGGTCTAGTGGTTGTAAGCGTGAAGCGTGAAGCTTAAATCAACCCTATCTACAAGTCTGTACTAAAATTATTTCAAATTTCAAAATAATGAAGAAAATCTGACACGTAAATGAAGACATCTACCGTCAATTTAAAAAAAAACATCGTAGTAGAAACGGACATTTGAATTTGTCCGCCTGGTAGGTAACTCATTAACTGATTATGAATAAAATGTTAAATGCAAAGTACATAAAGACATCTGCAAAATTTCGTCAAAAAAAGGGCAATACTGTTTGCATGTTGCTTAGATTTTCTTGAAATATCCTTAAAAGTATTGATGGAGATTATTATCTTAGTTTATTACATATTTTAAAAGAAATGGACGCTTTTTTATCACAATGTATAAACGGATATCAGGCAGATGTCTTCTTCTACGTCAAAGTTTTTAGAGTAAAAAAAGACATCTAAATTGTTTTAGTAAAACAACGACATAGCCATAAAAACTATTACATAATTCATAAAGAATGCTATTTTAATGCTTCATAAAAAAATTCATGTTAATCGGTCCATAACTCTCAAAATGACCACAATTTTTTACTAAATCTGCTCTCCTGTAAAATGCGATTTTGTAGATGTCCGTTTTTATTTTGCTGCCATCGATATGTTTGTCTCCTTTTAGTGTTGATTGTTTTCGTTTCATCGAGTTGAACGACAACGATTCTAAAGAAGTTTTCTCTTCAATAAGTTGAAAATGAGATCCCTTGGTTAGAAAGGATTTCCGCCGCCTTAAAAAAAATAGGCATCAGTTCTACTGAAGTCTTACCTCAGCAGGATTTGCTTGTGCAGTGCACACGAGAACTTGCTCTCCGTCCTTTACGGATTGCTTTATACCGCATTCCGGTACAACTGGAATTAATACAAGAAATCATCATCATGATTATATATACTTTATTGTACATCGCAAATACGATAAAAAGCCAGATAATAAGCAGTTAAATTTAGTAGGTAAGTACAATACGGTCTTATCGCTAAAAACGATCTCTTACAGACAATCTTAAGATTTGGAGAAAATTGTACTACTGGACAGTAGAAGATAGTATACATGAAGCAAATACAAAGAGGAGACGGCATAAGCAACTGTACACTGTGATTCTAAGTAGGTCCTGACGCCATAATAGTGGGCGTGGCTTTAGTTAGTATACTGTCAGCATTCGTCCTGTGCGCTTATGTGTTGGAAATTTCAAATCGGTGTATTTTCGTAGTATTAAGAAGAAAAGGATGAAGTGTTGTGTTTTATCGCATAAAAACTGCTCAGATAGACGTTTTGATATTATGGATGGCATCACATTTCATTTGTAAGTAATTTTACACCTAATTTGTTCAAATAGTTCTAGAAAAATCTCTTTGCGTCGGCTTTCAAATATACCTAATTAAATATATTCGACACTAGATGGCGACACTTTGTGTCATGTGAACTAAAAATATAAAGTTACGTAGAGCTGTATTGTATTGGTAAAATAATCATACGAACGCTGAAATTTGTTTTGTATTCACACATAAAGAAATTTTAATCGCCAAAATATTATTTTCATAGTTTATAATCATTTTGCGAACAGGTCGCCATCTATCGTCAAGGTAGCTAAACTACATTGCAACATCGATATAGAACGATTCGAGTAGTTTTACTATTTATCGGTAGATGTAGATAGTGTAAAGAGAGCGGGGCTTAACATCCCCTCAACCCGCAAATTGTCACGCGATGTTACATAGTGAAATCTAATTACAACACCTCCTCTTTGTATTTCCTTCATGGTGGTATATATTATAGTAAACTTGCAAAACCTTTATAAACTAATACACTAATATATACAAAAATATGACAGTCATATATAAGATTAAATAGGCAAATATACATAAATATTTTAATCGAGTCAGAGCGGTGTAAGAATAATCACTACTAAGTACATATCGAGGGTCTCGTAAGAGGCGATAGAGGAAAAATTAAACAGGAGCTGGATCTCACTGTGTGATATGGTCGCGTTGTTGCGAAGCAATTCTCTCCCTACTGTCCGTCGCTGTAACTTTTTCGTTGGCGGAAGCCGTACAACAGATCTAGATGGTGAGGCTTCTTTCCTGTCTAAGAGTCCTCCACGTAATAGACTCGGGGGGTCTATTGGGCAGGTGGGTATCGAGACCATGTAGGAAGGCACTCCATGCCTGAGGAGATGAATGGGGGAGCTGTGCTCTCCCGAGAAGGGGCTGGCAAGGGTCAGCTGTTGTAATGGAGTCGCGGTGTGTGCAAATCAGTTCCCGTGGCCTTACCTATATGTGGCGCAGATATAATACCAAGAGTTATTAGTCGGTGCGAGTCCTATGTTTTTTTATAGGATAAGGGTGACTAACGTGCACACAGTCCACCTGATAGTAAGTGTTTGAAGTTGCCCATAGACATCTACATCTATCCTCAACTACGAACCAAATTGCAGACGCGTTGTCACCCGAGAGGACTAAGATGGAATGCCTGGTTTCCAGTAAAAAGGGTCTCCGGCTCTCTACACTCACCATACGAAACACAGCAGCGTTAAGCTGGTATTTTGCGCTGGTATTCTGTGAGAGCGTCGTCCTTCCCCGGTCGAGCCGACCCATTCGTTCTACAACTATACTACTAATATAACTGCAGCTTGGCTCTACTACGTAAAACTGTTGTTACCAATGTTTATAAGGCGAAGATGATACACCAACTAGTTTTAATCAGTGCGAGTCCTATATAACCTTCGTCATCTGCGAGGCGGGTATGCGTAGGAATTTTAACATGAAAAAATCCTAAAGATAAAAGTTCTCTCCGCTTGATACGTACACATAACATCCAGAAATACTGAGGTGGTGACGGAACCGTGCTTGTTGTACGCTTCGCAGATGTAGTTGCCTCCATCTTTCTTCGTTACAGGACCCAGGAGTAGAGTGTTCGACGGGGAGAGAATTAAGGAGTTATTTGTGTGGTCTTTTCCTAGGTTCTTGCTGGGATGCTCCCGACGCCAGGTGTAGCTAGGCATTGGGAAACCTCTGCAAAAAAGGTTTTTCATGAAAGAGGAAACAAACATTACTCAAATGTATAAAATTATGCCAACAGGCTCATTGATTTCTTATATTTACACGAACACTACACATTGAATAAAACTACTTTTACGGAATCTATTGCGTTTAATGAAATTGTTTTTTTTTTTATTGATTCCCGACGTTTCGGGTAATTAACAACACCTCAGTCCCCCGTGACCATTGGTGCTGTAAAGTACCCGAATCGTCGGAAATCAATACAAAACAGTTTAATTCAACGCGATATAATCCGTAAAAGTATTTTTATTCACCAGAGACATTAATAGAAACAGAAAAAGAAATAGGAATGTATCTAATATCTATAATAAATAATTCTTATTGAAAGTCATTTTTACGTTTAACTAACCACTGGTTCAGAAAATACTTCTGTTGTGGTCAGGACCTAAAAGAGACATAGCGGGACTTCTTAATTACTTAGTTAACTATACAAATCATAATAGAAATCGTTTAATATCGATAAATTCCAGGGGTAATTATCGCGCAATTTTTTTAAAATAATATTCTAATGGTTTTTATACAACCTTTGTTTAAAAACTATATAAAGCTGCTTTATTGAATTAAAATTGTCAATTATTGTCTCATTGATTATATTGGATTATATGGGAGTTTATATTTTTATATATAAAATTACGTGTCACATTGTTTGTCCGCGATGAATTCTTGAAACTACTCAACCGATTGAATAAAATTTTGTAAATGTGTATTGCTTGCTCCAACTTGAGATATGGAATAGGTAGGCCGCCTGATAAGTGACCTTCAATATATTTATTGTGTATTTAAAGATTTTTTTAAGGAATAACGTTCGTCGGAACGGGCAGAACAGTCTGCCTGCCCAGCTAGTTAATTATATTGTGATCCATCATCACATTTTGTATACAAAGACATCTTTGTATACATATAATGTATACGAAGACACCTTTGTATACACATACGTCTTTGGTAATTTTACCTAGACAGGTGATGGAGAGTTTCTTCAAAAGCGCAAGATGTCTTGTAAAATTATAATCAAATGTGTTGTATTTTTTTGTTTCTATCCGATTTTAAAATGTATGTTATTATCTAGCTTAATATTATTTATTGAATGCAATATTCCTTACTTTGCTGAACACACGACTTTCCCAGGAATTTTGTTCTCTATTACGGAAACAGTTTCCGGTGTCACCGTGATGTTTTCGGGTTCATCTAGAAATAATATACAAATACTTAATACCAAAAACTTATAATTATAATATTAAAAGTTCTCAAACACATTCCCCATTGGGCATATGTTTTTTTATAGAATAATGGTGACGGAGGAGCACACAGTCCACTTTATTTCTTCTCCTGTATTGTGAAGGCAATGTGGCAGATATATATTTTTTTATTTATCACTGGTGTGGAAAATAGCGCTGTGCTTATAAAAGCCAGCAAGAAAACTACGGAGATTTTTTCAAATAAAAACTTTCTAAGTAATTTCAATTGAGACAAGAGGTGGGCAGCAGCATCTTCCTCATATCATGAAAAAAAAAACCAGTTGATAACCCGCCTGCCAAACATGGAAACTATGGCAGATATTCCTCCTCGAGACAGTCTATGGGGAGGCCTATGTTTAGCATTGGCCTTTAGATGGGAATGAATGAATATATTACTTTGTTAGATTAAAATAGAAATAGCTTTGTGGCAATTATCTAATTTCCCATATAGTCTCCGTTGAGTCTGGCCACCATGACCGAAATTCGGTCTAGATGACATTATTATAAAGGATAAATTCTTATTATTTGATACTGGCAAAACCGTGCTTAAACTGGCTTAGCCCTGCTTTAAGTGGCATGACCGTGTAGTGGCGGGGTAAAATATATACAATGGTCAGTTATGGTTAGGGTATGGGCTCGTGTTGCTGCTCTGTCGCTTTCCATCTATTACAGCCTTTCAAAGTCCACTGCAGTTTATAGGCCTCCCAATTTTTTTTATAATTTTGTGCAGTAAGTTGCTATAACTGTTAAGAATTAAGATGTATCCACTAGGACTTCTTGAGCTAATCAGGCGTATTGAAAGTTCATTTTATGTACATAATTCATGTCTATATACATTATCTGATAACTATTTACAATATTTTATAAATTTACACCCATTCGAGATTTTGATGATGATGATGATGATAGTTATGAAAATAAACCAAGTCTACATAAAACCAAAATCTGTTATGATAATAATATCACAATTCAGCCCGTTCAAACAAACGCAATGTTGCAACGTTGCGGATCGTTATAAGAAGTAGACAGTTTTGAGAGTTATGTATAACGTCACAATGCTCATAGTTGCACAGTACGAGCCAATCGATGAATTGAAAGAAAACGAAGTGTACTGACATTCGACGGCGAACTTGGTGGTGCTGTTGACGGGCGGGCCGGCGGCGTTGCGCGACGAGCGGCACGTGTAGCGCGCCACGTCCGCCGCGCGCGACAGCACGCCGCCCGGCCACGCCGACATGTTCCAGTGCTGCACACACGCAATACAAACATATATATCAAACATATAATACATACAAATACAAGTACAAATAAAATAGAAATACAAATATAAAGAGAAATAGGAATAGAAATAAAAATAGATATGCAGATGGAAATAGCAACAAAAATGGAAATAGAAATAAAAATGGAAATGGAAATAGAAATAGAAACTTTTTGTTCAATATAGAATTATACTTATTAAAAGTCACTCTTATGTTTAATGTATCTCTTCCACGGAAGAAAGGCCTAGTCTCTAACTTCGTCGACATCAAAATGATAGTTTATAATACATTGAGTACATCAAAATGATAGTTTATAATACATTGAGTACTTAGCTTTTCTTTAGGAACTACGACGGCTGGTATAACATACACATCTCGCAATGTACTATAAAGTGACTATCACTTTAATTTCCTTATAGAATAAAGGTGACAGACGAGTTCACAGTCCACCTGATAGTGGTTGCCTCACAGTGGATTCTGTGGCTCATACATGTATCCTTGATTAAGTATCAAAATGCAGATTCGTTGTCACCCTTGAGGACTAAGATGGAATGCCTCATTTCCAGTAAAAAGGATCTCCGGTTCTATACAAAACACAGCAGTATTAAGCTGCTATTTTACGCTGGCATTCTGTGAGAGTTTCTCCGATCGAGCCGACCCATTCATGCTACAACTATAATATAGCTGAAACATAGCTCTACGACGTAAAATAAAGTCTATGTAGTTAGTTAACAGGCCTGCTGACCCACAGGAATGTTCGGGCCGCTGCTTCAGTGCGAATTCACAACTCTATTTTATAAATTTAAAGTGACAAAGTTACAATCGACCTAGTTCGTGGCTACTGCGGTTCATGGTCAAATGCATCCAAATTGAAGCCAAAAAGACTACAGATGCGTTGTCATCTCTGACTAAGATGGTATGGGTTACAGTGTCTAATTATACTGGCTGTCTATATTCTTTTTTTTTCTTGCCCTAAAACCCTCTCAGAAATGAGAGGAGGCCTCTGCCCGACAGTGGAACGTATATAGGCTGCAACTTTACTTTACTATATCCTTCAAACAAAAAAAGAAAGCATTACTGCTATTTCGCAGAATAAACAGATTTCTACGAACTACAGCCTAATATATTTCTGGCGTGAGTTAACTTTTTTTTTAATATTAAATTCCACGCAATTTCACATTGATGACTTTAAAATTTGCCTCCATTTTAAAAGAAATTCCTCGTATTCTTGAAAAGTTTTATACATATTAACTTTTATCGCTTTAGTTAAGTTCGATTTTAAAAATATTTTCGCAATACACTTACCAAAGTGGACTCTGTGGCTTCAAAATCGTTTCTATTCACTTGCGGCTCTATTTTCCTTTCGACTACGTAGTATCTGTCGGTCTTGTCTGGGTCGATGACCTGACCATCCTTCAGCCATTGCACACTGCAGAGGGGGGCGCACTCCACTGTACAGGATAGCGAAATGTTCTGAAAGCCAAAAACTCGCTTATTACCATAAATATGTCAACGTATATATAAATATGTATTATTGTATTGTATTCTATTGTAGGCGTATATTAGCCGTGTATCATCCGGTAGGCGTCATAAGAGGCGACAGCAGAAAATTAAGATGGAAATCGGCAGCAGCAACTTCTTGATAACCACTCAAAGTTATTTAAAGTTAAGTTATAGCCTATATACATCCCACTGCTGGGCACAGGCCTCCTCTCATTTCTAAGAGGGATTTAGGGCAAGAGAATATCCGCTGCGCCGCACCAATGCGTGTTGGCGAACTTCACATGTCTTCGAAAAAATTTTTTCTTCTTTCCTAGACATGCAACCTGCATCTTGCCTATCAAACGTGGCAACAATGATAAATTATCATTATGAGGCAATCTATGGGGAAGCCTACGTTCAGCTATAGACTTTATTAGGTGATAAGTGATTTTTTTATAGAATAACGTAGACAAACAAGCGCACAGTCCACCTGATAGTAAGTGGCTGCATTTTGATTCTTAATCTATGCTAGATTAAGAATCAAAATGCAGATGCGTTATCACCTCTGAAGATTGAGATCGTATCAAGTAAAAATGGGTCTCCGGTTCTCTACACTCACAATACGAAACACAGCAGCATTAACTTGCTATTTTACGTTGGTATTCACTGAATTAATCAATCTTTAGCAGTGTCATACAAGTCTATGTTAAATGTGCATTAATTTCTATTAGTAAAGGGAACTGACCGATTAGACGTGTGATCATTAATAAGATAATGATAAGCCGTAGTTATACGCCAGATATCTAAACAATAATAAACATTCGTTGCTATAAATAGCATAGACAACGTTATTATTATTAACTATATCACAAGACTCATTAATCGTATCGCGTTTTACTTTTATCAATTAATTATAGATATAAATATACTGTTACCAAGTAAACGATAGACTTTTGTATTGTAAATTTTTTATTGTTTTGTATGTTTTGACTTCACTAAGGAGGAGGTTCACATTTCGTCTTTTCGTTTTTTACGTATGTTCGCCGATTACTCGAAGACGGCCGAACCGATTTCGGAAATTCTTTATTTGTTTCAAAGGGTATATTTTCCAGGTTTTTTTTATAGTCATGGGGGCAAACGAGCATGCGACTCACCTGATGGTAAGTGGTTGCGGTGGCCCATAGACATCTAAATCTATCTTCGTTTGCGAATTAAAATGCAGATGCGTCGTCAGTCGTGAGGACTAAGATGGAATGCCTCTTTTCCAGTAAGAAGGGTCTCCGGTTCTCTACACTCACCATACGAAATACAGCAGCATTAAGCTGCTATTTTACGCTGGTATTCCGTGAGAGCGTGGTCCTTCCCCGGTCGAGCCATCCGTGCTACAACTATAGGTACTATTAATATAGCTGCAGCATGGCCCTACCACGTAAAATAATAAGGGTTATGACAGAGGCATTTTAATCTATCTAATCTAATAACGCTATGGGTTATGAGGCGCACAATAATATAAAAAAAAAATTACTAACCTGAGATCTGTACAACGCACCACTGTAGTGATTCATTGCGTATTTGAAACTGGGCGGGGCTGAAAACAAAAAAATGTTATTTGGACTTCATTATTAAAAAAATCCTTAATTACTTAAATAAATTAAATGCAATTGCAATTAATAAAATTAATAAGAAATTGACAAACGAGCACAAAGTCCACCTGATGGTAAGAGGATGCTGTCGCCCATAGACATCTACATTTATCCTCGATTAAGGATCAAAACGATTAAGAAGCAGATGCGTTGTCACCCTTGAGGACTGCAATGGAATGCCTTGTTTCTAGTAAAAAGGGTCTCCGCATCTTTACACATTAAGCTGCTATTTTACGCCGATGCTGCTGATACTCCGTTAGAGTGTGGTCCTATACAGATCGAGCCAAGTTTTTTGTGCTACAACCATAATATATATATATATATATATATATATATATATATATATATATATATATATATGCAGAAAAAATCTAGTGCTCCGTGGCGCAGTAGCTTAACAATGAGTTGCAGCGCTAAGGGCCGCGGATTCGAATCCCGCAAAGTACACTCGTAGAAAAAGGGCAGGAAGTATGACAGGAAATGTTAGGGTTCCATGTAATATAATAATAAGCTAATAAAATATATTAAGCTTCATCAGATTATGCTTTGTAAAGTCCTAGAGATTTTGTCCTCTTATTTGAACTCAGCGTGTATGTTTATTTGTAATTGGTTTCTCGGAAATGGCTCAAATGATTTGAATAAATGTTTTGTTGTATATTTTAAGATGAGACAAAGACTTAGGTTTATATATTACAGTGAACTCACCGAGCACATCTATTGTGGCGTAGGCCGGTTCCCCTTCACCTCCCGTGTTGTTCCCGCGACAAGAGAAGTTGGTTCTGTGGTCCAAGGTGACCGGGTCAATGGTCCAGTTCGCAGACACTATGTCGCTAACGAGACGACCGCCACGATGCCAGCGGAATCTATAAAAAGGCATAAGACATTTGAAAAAATCGGTACTACAGTGGAAAAATTCGTCAAGTACAAGTTATTTTTGTAGAATATGTGTAACAAACTAGCACACAGTTCACTGGATGGTAAGTGGGAGCTATGGTCCAAAGACTACTATATCCAATCCTCAATTAAGAACAAAATGGAGATGTGTTTTCACCCCTAAAACGGTCTCCGGTTAAGCTATGCTCTCTTCGTGTTCTATACTCTGACAGGTTTATAAAAAACTGCGGTTGCCAACCCGCCTGTCAAGAGTGATGACTATGACAAATATTCCTTGTATAAGACAATCTCAGACAGAGACTCCATATCTCCCCATGGGTGTGGTAAGAGGCAACCGAGGGAAATGAAACAGACGATGCGGACCAATATCCTAAAAGCGACTGAAAATAATAAAAGACTGCGGATGACACCTCACCTACCAAGCGTGGCAAATATGACAAATATTCTGTCTATGAGGTTTATTTTATAAGGTAAAAGTGACAAACGGGCACACGTCCACCTGATGGTAAGTGGTTGTTGTGGTCCATAGACATCTACATCTGTGCTCGATTATGAATCAAAATGCAGATGCGTTTTCACCTACACACAAACACTTATGCCTGTTACCCAGAGGGGTAGGCAAAGACTATTGACTTCCATTTGGCACCATCCTGAAACACCTCTCTCGCCTTCTTTACATCCATATATATACGCATACACGCTCGTCGGTTAAGGGTACTTGTAATCTGGCCCATTTTCAATATATCGCCAATTTGGTCAAAAAACCTTCGTCTAGGGCATCCCATCTCGACTCTACCGTTCACTTCTGCAACATAAATCGTTGTCACCCGTGAGGACTAAAATGGAATGCCTAGTTTCCAGTAAAAAGGTCTCTATGCTCACCATACGAAACAAAGTAGCGGTTTTTTTTTTGCTCGTATTCTGTGAGAGCGTGGTCTTTCCCCGGTCGAGCCGACTAATTCGTGCTACAAGTACACCACTAATATAGCTGCACCATGGCTCTACCACGTAAAGAAAACACGTAAACGTAACCTATGGCGAGGTTTATGTTCTAAAGTGGACTTTTGAGATGCTGTAATGAATAAATAAATGAATTCCAGCTTTGACCCTCCAAAAATATAAATCCAGCCAGCCACAGGAAACATTTTCAAATGTACGATACGTCTGTCACCACATTCACATGGTGAGCTTGGTAAGTGTACTTATTAAAGCATATAGTTATCATTCTTGCAGTCGAAATGTTCCATGTCATCCTATTACGGACTGGTAAAGAAAAAGAAGGAAACAAAGAAGCAACGTACCTGTTAGATTCAGGTCTCCCTTTCTCTTGTACGCTGCAGCTTAAAATTAATGACTGTCCTTTTATAACTCGCCAGGGGGAGTATGTGAGTTTAGCTGGCCCCGGAGGATCTGTAAGGAAATGTGTAAAAATAGAATGTTACAGATAGCGACATCTGATATGTGAGCAGCTGTAGTATGGACAAGTTTGCGAAAGTACAACTGCGACTGTACTGCAAGCGAATGACAAGCGTGCCATTACACGTGAGTATCCAATAGACGACGTTAACTGTAGAACCAATCACGTGATAGAATATTTAACGTCTCTCCCCTTTTCATCAAACAGACCAAATCGTATTGTACTATTAAGTATTCGGTGCTTCTGTTCGGGTACAATCCGTGCGCAAAATATTTTCACATACATCATCACGTACACATGCTTCATGACGTCAACAAAGTAAGGGGATGGTAATTATAGCGCACATCTTGTGAATGCCAGAAATAAATAATAACGTATTGAAAACACCTGGTATAGCAATGTCAATCCGCCTGCCTCAGGCATAGAGAATACATTAATTCCTTTTTTTTTAATTGTAATGACAAGTTAATTTACAGTCCACTTGCTGGTGAGTGGCTACTGCTGCTTGCAACCAATTGCAAACAAGAAAGTTACAGATACGTTGTCACATCAGAGGGCCAAAAACAAATAGCTTTCATAATGATTTTTACATTAACGATAACAGTTCTCGTAAAATAAAACTACTTGTGCAAATTATATCGCGTTTATTTAGTTATTTTTTATTCCGAAGTTTCGAGTGTTTCATTACGAGGTGACTGTGGTGTTTGACGTCGGGTAAAAGTAAATAGTGTGTGTGTGTGTGTGTGTGTGTGTGTGTGTGTGTGTGTGTGTGTGTGTGTGTGTGTGTGTGTGTGTGTGTGTGTGTGTGTGTGTGTGTGTGTGTGTGTGTGTGTGTGTGTTTGTGTGCGTGTGTGTGTGTGTGTGTGTGTGTTGTAAATTTCTATTAAATATACTGGCTCTCTAAACCTTTTAGAACGAAACACTGCTTTATGTTATAGACTATTACATCAGCCTATAATATACTTACAGTTAACGACTAATTCCGTCTTCTTACTCTCGCTGCCCCATCCCGCATAGTTCTTGCCTTTGCACGAATAGTTTCCATGGAAGCTCTTAGTGGTATCTTGGAGGAGCAGCATTGATGGGTCCACGTCATTACATAGGCTATCTATAATGTCAGAAATGGTTGCAATAATATATTTTTTTAATTTCCTTGAATAAGTGTGACAAACGAGCACACAATACACCTGATGGTAAGTGAGTGCTGTTGCCCTTAGACATCTAAATCTATCCTAGATTAAGAATCAAAATGCAGATGCATTGTCACCCCTAAGATGAAGATGGAGTGCTCCGTTTCCAGTAAAAAGGATCTCCGGTTCACACAGCAGAATTGCTACTTTACGCTGGTATTCTGTGGGAGCCTGGTTCTATCCCGGTCGAGCAGACCCATAATATAGCTGCAGCGTGGCTCTACCACGTATCTAAGTACAGATACGGTGGTAGTAGTGGTAATTAACTCGGTCTCGATCTCCGCCAGCACCATTGAAATTGCTAACTGCAATTTTAAGTATTGTTTGACCACGTGCTTTTTGATGAAAACATTAACGGACCAATACTTCTAGCCTTAGATTATTAACGAAGGCCTATGCTCAGCAGTGGGACGTATATAGACTGTGAATTTTTTCAAGTAAAGAAACTTTTTGTCCACCGAATGTCGCACCCTTACTTCGTGCTGGAGAAATATGCAAGCAGCGGAGAAGCTAGCGCTAAAACCCTGTTAAAGTAGGAAATCCTCGTCGTTAATATGTAATATAGAGTAAAAATAGATAGAGCTTTATTTTTTTTTGTCAGCGGGTAGTGTAGTATAGGGTAGTCCACACGACTTATATATTATTGTTAATACATATAAACATATATATATATATATTTACATGTCTCTCTCTCTCTCTCTCTCTCTCTCTCTCTCTCTCTCTCTCTCTCATTGACATTCTTATAATACAAATATACCGGCTTATTTTGCAATATGCGGTCGAATTTGCAGAGAAAAAAAATATAGGGTGAAGGAAAATGAATTTAAAATAATCTCATACATTCTGTACATTTTATCTTTTAAATTCAGAATGCCCGGTAATGCATTTTGAGTATTGCGATACAATTCACAACGTTATTGCTGACCGAGCGACCCTTACAAATGTGTAATTGCGTAGTCAAATAGTAGGCGTTAGATATTTATGAATGACAATCAATTAAAATAATGTGTGCATAAATGTATGAAGACATTTATAAAGTAATCTGCAGACTTACCATTGGTGCCGTTACATTCTGGCAAATGCTTCAGGATCTCCCCATCCAGATACCATATAACCTCGTCCAGGATCGGCGGGTTTCCCGATACTACTTGACAGGTGAGGGTGACGTTCTTGTGATCAGTTTCCAGGATGGGGCTTTGCTCACTCATGTTTAGTCGGACTTGCGGCTTGTCTGGAATTGCACAAAAGTTCACATATTAAGGCACCGCTTCATTTCCATTCGGTTATATTTTTTCTTATAGAGTAATGGTCAAATACTTAAGCGCTAAGATGTCGTTAAGTCTCGTGATGTCACAGTCACTTTGATTTAAAATTATAAAGGGAGCACGAGATTTAAAGGCATCTTAAAATTTAGCAGCGTTGGAATATTTGATCATAAGGGAGATAAACGAAAAAGAACAATTATAAGCTAGTTTTTCCATTGTCGGATAAAAGTTATTCAACAAATGAATTATAACCCGAGTGCACATTAAAGTGAAACAATTGAGATTCAACTGTAATTTTTAATTTCTTCATGTTGTAATTTTCATATGATTCATATCTGATTATTGAAAATAGTCCTCAAGAAGATTATTACTAAACAGTGTTGATGAACCTTCGAATTCATTATTAAATGTATCTTTATAAAGACTAGACTAGTTGACTGCATCGTTGGTTTAGTGGTCGTAAACGCGATTGCCGATCATGCGATGAGATCCCGGGTTCGAATCCCGTCCATGTTAAAATCAGTTAAAGAGATTTTCTGTAAAGAAATTCTCAGTTGGCGGTGTTTCACCCGCGTGCCTCGGAAAGCATGTAAAGCCGTTGGTCTCTATCTCTACGGTCGTGTCGGATTACCGTCAGATCGGACTATGAGAGTGAAATAGTAGAGAGTGTAATTGTGTTCGCCTACACACTTGGGCACTATAATCTTGTCCAGCGCAGATGGCTAGTCCCCGTTAAGACTGGCAGCCGTGACCAATATTTGGTCAGGGGGACATTATTATTACTATAATTATTTTTGAAAATAATTTACATTGCATATAATTTATACACACAAGCGCGCGCGTCTCTCTCTCTCTCTCTCTCTCTCTGTGTGTGTGTGTTTGCGTGTGTGTGTGTGTGTGTGTGTGTGTGTGTGTGTGTGTGTGTGTGTGTGTGTGTGTTTGTGTTTGGTTATCTTTTACTTAACGATAAAATAATTTATATTTTAAAGATGGATTTGCTTTGGTGAAAGATGTCAGCCAAAGAAAATTCTTTATTATAGCTTTTAAGTATGCGACATATAACGGGATTCTGTGCATAATTTGAGTGACTTGAAGGCACATGACATAACGAAGTATGTCTAGTGCGATCAGTAGGTGCTCGTAGTGCTGGATATTAATTCAAGGCTATCAATTTTGTTACTGCAGATATCATGTAGGAATATTATCTGCAGTAAAGTGTGGCGATCTTTCAACATTTTTCTTTGCATTAATTTATGTAAGTTACATGATTCTTTATAATTTTTTAATGTTTTATTTTCAGATCGAAAATTCAAGGCCTTAATAAATTTTGTCTGTATTTGTACTATTTCGTGTATGTATGTTAATATAATTTGGGTTCCACACAACATTAAAATATCCCAGGACGGTACGGATTTAAGAATAATATAAAACCTTTTTTTTTAAAACGTTACCCCCACACTAGGATTTTCTCCTGCATCATGGAGGCAGTTTACAAACATATATTGCACAAGGACAAACATCCAGACCCGGAACAATTATTTGTAGGCCATACAAATACTTGTTCCGTGCGGGATTCGAACCCGCGGCCCCAAGCGTTACAACTCATTGCTAAGCCACTACGCCACGGAGCCGTCTTATATATTTTATGTCTGAAAAAGGTTGACAAACTCGTAATACAAAGCGAAAATTTTTATAAACCTTTACAACCATTGCCTACATATGATCAGGCATCATCATTTTTGAATCAAAGACTACTCCGAGGTCTTTAGTTTTGTCAGTGTGTTCTAAGGGTTCTAAGGGCGTGTAAAGCTAATTTTGAAATATATTTTTCTTTTTGGTTCTATACATAATTTGCAAACTTACAGAGAATATTAACATCAATGGTCTCGTTGGTGGTCCCGTTGCCCACGATGTTGGAGAGCAAGCAGGTGTAGTTGCCCATGTCCTCTCCCCTGGCGTTGACGATGATGAGCGCGTGCTGATCCGTAGTCCCACCTTCATAGTGGGAACTATTCACGTTGAGTTTCTTGCCATCTCTATACCTGGATAAGGTGATTCAGTTAAAGAAATAATTAGGTATGTACTGTGTTGGAATAAAAAAGAAATATAAAGAACTAGTGGTCCGTTCTAGCTTCGCACGGGTGATTTCTGGATTTGATTGAACAATAGCACCATCTACCGGATTTCATTGTATATCTAAACTATTAGAGGACCCACTCAAATGCACCCAAAATAATAGTTTCGAGTTTTTGCGAGACTAACGCTCGGCAATTTATTTATATGTAAAATAACCGATGTATACATAGTATACAGATTTAATATTTAAGTTCAAATATAGAAATAATGATATAACTTTATTGCTATTTTTGAAAATATGAGTAAATAAGGCTTCTACATTTATTTTAAATTATTTCTGTGTGCGATTCAATTCACAACGTTTTACCCAACCGCAGCGACCCTTAGGAAAGTTTGCGTGCGTAGTAAAATGCTAGTCGTATGATATTTATGAATGAAAATCAGTTAAAATATGGCATTAACACACATTTTGAATTTAAAGGATAAAAAAGGACAAAATGTTTAAATTTTTTTTATAAATTTTTCTTCACCTTTCGCCTATATTACTTATTCTGAACCTTCTATGCGAATTTAGGCGTATATTATACAAAATAACCCGCTAAGTCATCCACCGCAGAATCTACTTCACCTGAGGATGTCTCGTGTAGAGACGAAACAAGCGTCATATTATCGACGGTGGTATGTCTTTCCTAGTATAGTGGTGTTGGAAGTAGTGGTGACGTATATAGTGCACACAGTTGGGAAAGGGCGGGAGGTGGTCTTCAAACTAGGTAAGACACATCATTTTATTTCATTACCCGGATACAAGCAAATACATTTTTACCAACTTTAATATCTAAATATTCCTCAGACGTGCATGTTATAACGCGATGTTTTCCTTCACAAACGAGCACTTGATATCAACTTAGACCGACTTCTAGAGAGCGACGCGTGCCACGTAAAATATAAAACTTATTGAGATATAAACTTACCAAATAACTTCGTTGAGAGAAGATGGGTTACTCTCGTATTCGCACTTCAGGAGAATTTTCGCGCCCTCTACCACTGTTATGTTTTTGGGCTCCAAGTGGACGAGTGGCGGATCTGTGAATTTGAAAAAATTATGTACATTACAAGAGTACTTATAAAAATCCAATTATGCTTTTGCCACAGGTTCGGAAAAAGACCCTCCGTCCTGAGATGACCAAGCAAGAAACCCAGCGGGACTCAAACATCAGGCATTGTTGATTTGTTTTTTATGAGAATTGTAACGATTCAACCCGGCTTCGCTGGCCATATGAGGAAGCTCAAGGTCGCTCAGCGAGCTATGGGAGAGGGCTATGCTCATGGTTTCTTTGCATGATAAACTTAGAAATGAGGACATTCGCAGTAGAACCAGAGTAACCGACATAGCCCAACGGATTACTAAGCTGAAGTGGCAGTGGGCCGGCCTTACAGCTCGAAGAACTGACAACCAATGAGGAAGAAAGGTTCTCGAGTGGCAGCCTCGTACCGGTAGGCGAAGTGTAGGGTGACGACCTGGTAAGACATGTAGGAAGTCGATGGATGCAGGTGGCTCAGGGCCGTGCTCTGTGGCATTCGTTGGGAGGGGCCTATGTTCACTTGTGAAAGGCTGTAATGATGATGATGATGAACCTGGCTTCGCACGAGTGATTTCTAGATCTCGATAACAGCGCTACCTACCGAGTCCAATTGTGAATCTAAACCATCTAGGGACCCACTCAAATATGCATAATAACAGGCTGTGCAGCATTACAACTAAGTCCTTAGGAGTGACAACGCATCAGTAGCTTTCCTAGTTTAAAGATGGTTTTAGGTGCACATGAACTGGGGTAGCCACGTACCATTATGTGAACTATAAGTTTATTTTTCACTATAATTTTATAAACAAAAGGCATTAGTCAAATTTTAGGTGATAAATGTGATGACGGCGATTATAGATACTTACACCAAACTTCCAATTCTCTCGTGGCGTGTATAGGGTGCTCCTTCGTTTCTATCATGACATCGTTGATGGCTTCACAGCGGAATTTACGTCCGTTTTCGAAGCGAGTCGCTTTGAAGGTCAGATTGGACGTCGTCTCGAACGTCGAGTCACTCTGTAACGTTGAAAAATTATTTTTTTTAATAGAAGAGGGAGCAAACGAGCAAGCGGCTGACCTGATGGTAAGTTACTACCATCAGGTCAGCCGCATCATTACAACTGCAGTACCAGGGGAATTGCAAGTGCGTTGCTTTGGTGCTTTTAAAAAGGAGTAAGCTCGTATCGATCAAAGCCATACTGCAGCTATGTTATGGTTGTAGCTCGAATGAGTCGGCTCGACGGAGAAAAAAACACGATTTTACAAAATACCAGCGTAAAAAAACAGCCTTATGCTGCTGTGTTTCATATGGTGTAGAGTGTAGAAACTGAATACCCTTTTTATTGGCTACCAGGCATTACACCTTATTCGTCACAGGTGACGATGCATCTGCATTTGATATACTATTGATTCTTAATCGAGGATAAATGTAGATGTCTATGGGCCACAGTATCCACTTACCATCAGGTAGTCTGTGTGCGCGTTTGTCACAATAATTCTATGTATAAAAAAACACGTATTCGTCGGAGATGATACGGTCAGTGAACGCGTTATATATGGGTATTATACGTTGCTGATACATTCTAGTGCACGTACCGCGTTCCTTAGTCCCTCATACGTTCATAGCACGTTTGTAGTTTGAGCCCTTCTGGAAGGCCGTAATCTTAAACCAGCTACACTCTTGGCAATATTTTCATTGAAGTTGGTTGTCAAAGTCTATGGGCTTTATACTCTCCGTCCCATTTCAAAAGGCATAACGTGAAGGAGGAACACACAGATAGCAAAACAGGTAATCTTTTTTTTTCTATTACTGTTCTCAATTATTAAACGAAATTAAAAGAAAATTTGTAAATGTCATTATTTGATTGAAAACATTTATTGGCGCGCCTTGCATGCCGGGGCAAACGGCATGACGCTCTCTTATGCCGTCATGCCTCCTCTAAGCCACCGCTCTCGACTCTCTTGTATGTGCGTGCGCGTATGCTATACACGTCTTTGCTACTCTGTGTGAATTGTGTACTGCGTGGGCTTTCTATTCGACTATATTATACTTGACGCGTTCACCGCTTGTACACACACTTTTAGTTTCTTTTTAATATTAATTATTTTTATTTATTTATTTCCATATTTTTTTTTGTAAGTTCTACCATCAATTATGATGTTACACATCTGCCATGCGTCCAGTGACGACCAACTTTTTCAAACGTAATAAATCTACTAGCGTTTCGAAATGAGGTTCAGCCAATTTACGTCCTACAGCTGAGCACAGGCCTCCTCTGATTTTTGAGACGCATGGAAATGTCCGACGAGCTGCCCCAAAGCTTGTTGGCGGACTTTACCTGATTTCGAAACATTATGTTGTTAATTTTTCAGAAATGCAGGTTTCCTTACATTGTTATTTTTCACCGCAGAGCACGTGGTAAATTAACACAATTTATAATAATTTATTTATAACTAGCTGTTCTCCGCGAATTTATAACGATTGAATTTCATGGGTTTTAATATTTTTTGCGGAACCCTAATTCCTTTTTTTATATAAAATTAATTTGAGTTACTCCTTATAATATTAGCTATCTGTCAATGAAACTCCCGTCAAAATCGGTTCAGCCATTTCGGAGATTAGCCGGGACAAACAGACAGACAGACAAAAATTTTAAATTTGTTTGATGGCTCCGTGGTGTAGTGGCTTAGCAATGAGTTTCAGCGCTGGCGCCGCGGGTTACAATCCCGCACGGAACAAGTATTTGTATGGCCTACAAATAATTGTTCCGGGTCTGGATGTTTGTCCTTGTGCAATTTGTGTTTGTAAACTGCCTCCACGATACAAGAGAACATCTTAGTGTCGGGGTAACGTTTTTTAAAATAAACAATAAAAAAAATAAACAAATTATAAGTACCGTATATACCTTCATATGCATTTGGAAAAAGCTGTTATTTTGTCATTAAAAACAGACATTTCAAATATATTTATTTGTATAGATAAGTCTCAGGTTCAAAGTCTGTTTTAATAATGAAGTCCCGTAGAAAATATGGAAACTAAAATGTAAAGGATGGAATTTAATAGCAAATATCAAATTCCGCGAAGAATAAGGCGCCGCGGCTGAGTGTCTTCTTTCGATACTGACTCTTCTTAGAACTAGAGACAGTAAATAAACCACGTTTAATAATACTCGTATTACCGACTATGTTTTTTTTTGTTTTGAGCAAAATTACTTTCATATCCTTAAATTATTCACACATTTTTACATGGTAGAGCCACGCTACAGCAATATTATGGTTGTAGCACGAATGGGTTGGCTCGACCGGGGAAGGACCACGCTCTCACAGAACACCAGCGTAAAATAGCAGCATAACGCCGCTGTGTTTCGTATGGTGAGTGTAGAGAACTGAATCTCAGTCCTCAGGGATGACAACGCATCATCATTTTGATTCTTACTTGAGGATAAATGTATATGTCTATGGGCCACAGCATCCACTGACTATCAGATGGACTGTGTGCTCGTTTGTCACCCATATTCTATAAAAAAAAAACATTATTAATTATTCATCATTAATCATCATTACACCCCTTCACAAGTGCACTGTTGAACATTGTCCTCCCCCAAGGAATGCCACAAAGCACAATCGTGAGCCACCTGCATCCACTGACTTCCTGTATCTCTTACTAGGTCGTCACTACATCTAGAGGCCGCCTTACACTTCGTCTTCTGGTACGAGGCGGCAACTCGAGAACATTTCTTTTCCATCGGTTGTCGGTTCTTCGAGCTATATCGCCGGCCCATTGCCACTTCAGCCTACTAATCTGTTGGGCTATGTCAGTCACTCTAGTTCTACTGTGGACAACCTCATTTATAAGTCTTATCACGCAGAGATACCCGAGCATAGCCCTCTCTATTGAGTTTCATTGCTTTAATCATACATTGGAAAAAAAAGCAAAATTTCAATCACCATTTAAAAATGATCGATAAGAATTAATTTATGTAAAATTGAAAACCATTAAACAGTTAAAAGTTATAAGTCGAATAATTCACAACAGTAGCGTTGAGTTGAGATGCTGTAAAATTTTAATTCTTCGAACCCTCGAGGGTTCTCAACAATCTCAAACTGTCAGCCTGTCTTTGTTTCGAGTTGGGTCACAGTTATAAAGTATTTGAAAGAGACTTAGAGCGTAGTATTATGTTTTTGCGAACGTAGTTTCCGTGGGGCATGCCGTGTAGTGACGGTGTAAGAATATCCACTAGCCTATATAATCCCGTACGTGTTGTATACCGTCCCGTAGATGCGACAGAGGGAAACAAATAAGGAGATGGGCAGCCGTGTCTTCTTATTAGGACTAAAAATAAATAAAATCGGTCAAGTGCGAGTCGGACTCGCATTTGCAAAAAACACGTTTCTAGTAGGGAAGCCCCCTTTAATTTTTAATTAAGCCTACTTTGATTAAGAAATACACATTTTGTGAAAATTTCAACTGTCTATCTATTACGGGTTATGAGATACAGCCCGCTGACAGACTTCACGTCTATCAGCGGGCTGTAATAGAGTCCCGACGAGGCTTAGTAATAGGGTCCCAATCGTTACCCTTCACGTAAGGAACCCAGAAAACTGCAGTTGCCAACCCGCTTACCAAGCGTGGCAACTATGGCAAATATCCCCCCCTATGTGGCAATTTATGAGGAAGGCCTATGTTCAGCAGTGGACTTTAATAGGCTGTAACGGCAAGAGCAACGGAGCGTATTTTCATAATTCTCTAGATAAAGGTTTTATGTAGTTTTCGATGATATCGGAAAGATTGCAGCAAAAACTACGCACACGTCCACTACTTAAATACTAATAATTAAAAATTAAAAATTTTGTACAGCCGACTTCAATATAAGTTATTAAGAATAACTCATAAACTATTGGTCTGACCTTGATCAAATTCATATGGGACTACAAGAGAAGTATCAGATTTCAAATAAAAAAGAATCATCGAAATCTGTTCACCCAGTAAAAAGTGATGAGGTAGCACACATAAAAAATATACAGACGAATAGAGTACCGTCTCCTTTTTGGAAGTCGGCAGAAAAGAAGGGTCTTAAGCCAGATTCAATATTAACAATTTCAAATAATAGAGATAAGAAATAAACACAATAGTTTAACAATCTAAATGTTCATATGTGACTCACGTTACGGTGAAATGGTTAATAGTAATAATGAAAAATATTATGAATTTGATTTAGATGAATTTTGGTTCGATTGAGACTGACTTCATTCTGTCTTGTTACATATAACCTATAGAAGGTTATTGCTTTACCCGAGATCTTATGACATACGTTTAACATATGATGCGGTTAATGCAAGAAGGAGTCCACAGCCGGCCATGAGCGTCTCCCGTTTTAGAAAAAAAATATTGCCTTATAGACATCGTACCGTTGACGCTATTTCCCATCGCCGGTCTCTGTATATTTAACGTTAGTTTTTCTCGCTTATGTCATTTATCGAAAGCTCTAAAATATTTCTGTCATTTCTCATAGTGGTACATTATGAAACCTACTGCATGAAATGGCATGATCGACTGAAAGATTCGCAACCGCCACCACTTGGCAACATGTATAATTTGTGATTCCCTCTGACATAAGTTGCCTCATTTATGACACAAATGTAACAGGCTGGATGGGTCACTTTTCTGAAGTCGCAAGTCAGATCTTTCAGACCCAATTTCGATCACAACGGCCAGTCTCTACGGAGACTAGCTATCACGGGACAGGATCAGGGTCAGGATGCTCAAATGTATGCTCAAGCATGCTTTCTCTATTTCCTAACTCTCGATGGGACGATTATCTGATACGAACGGAGAGAGTTCAGGCGCAGGACCAACGGTTTTGACGACGTTCACTCTGAGGCACGAGAGTGAAACAACGCCAAATTCCTGATTTCGGGCTGCCACTGAGAATTTCTTGACAGAAACTCTCAATAACTAATTTTGGACCGACCCAAGATTCAAGACTGAGACTTAATGATCAGCAACTGGGTTTACT